ATGAGAAGGAAAAATTTCCAGTACTGCTGAACCAGGTGAAAACTTCTGCAGGAAAAGCAGACACACCAATTAATCATACTCTCTCCAAAGACGGCACCAGCGGAGCAAGATGAAAATGATCTATTGGTTTTGGTCACGTTTCTGTTGAACAGTTGTACTCAAATTTGAGTTTTTCCTTCTTGTATTTAATAGACACTGTTCTGGGGGTGGTTTAAAAAAATTATGTATATACACACATATACATACACACACACACACACACACACTTACTGCAGCTTATTTTACTAATTTTATCTGAAAGGTAAATTTTGAATTACACTGTCTAATGTTGAATCCCAATGTCCAACAACAGTGCAGCAAACAAAGATGAAGCATGCACCTAGTCACCACAATGCCAAAAGCAACGTAACTGGCTCTCTGCTAAGAGGAGTCATTTTAGAGAAAATGACCATGCATGGAGCTCCTCGACAATTAAACCATCCTCACAGATAATCATGGGACTTGTAGTGACAGGACTTTCAGCTAGGAAGGATACAAGTCCTGAACTGGATTTCAGTGGAGAAGAACATGAGACTTGTACTCTGTAAGGAATGGGGAGGGCTCCTTTTTCCCTCAACAGCTAATGAATTAGAGGGGGATGGAAGAGAGGGAAACTCATGCTCTGGTCTTGTCAAATAGAAAATATCATCAGTGACAATGGCAGCATCATACCCGAGATCCAGTTTCTGGAATTTAAGGCTTGACCATTCCCTTCAGGTTGGTTAAGGGCAGGTTAACAGGCTTGGCCAGAAAACATAATATTCTCTCTGTATGAGACTAAATTTCACCTTGGGGGGCTGTCCTACCAGGGAGCATTTTTTTAAGAGAAAGGCAACTCATTTATATACTTCCTCTACCAAAACTTAAAGAAATTAAGACAACGGAGAACATCACTGCGTTACAAACAAACCAGATGGCCAAATACTTATAGTTAAAATGCACAAAGTAATTCAATTCTAGCTCGAGTGACATGGGGTTTTAAAATACCAATGTAGAATGGAAAATTCAAAATAAGTAGCTACCTTATTTCCTTTCCAAGAAATAACGCTCCTCCAGTCTCAGGTATTGGTGCAGCATCTTTCTTTCTGCAGACATCAAAGGCAATTCAGACTTGCCAGAGGCACTGATTTTTGGCCATGCCCCATAAAAACCTCTCAACCAGACAAGTACGTCCAACTTATTATTAAAATATATAGTTCTCATTATAAGATGGAACTGATGACATTATTTAGCAAGAGGTCAACAAAATGACAACCAAGAACTTCTAAGGTGAGGTTGACCAAGGGGAGAGGTCAGTCCCAGAAAGAGGTTTCTGGGTAGTAATAAATTCTCCATTCTGGATCCTGATTTCTCCCCAGTCTGAGACATTTGAGATGTAGAAAGAAAGAGACAAACAGTACATGGGGAGATTTTCAAAGGCACAAACAGGAACTAGGTGCCCAACTCCCATTGAATTTCAATGGGAGTTTGGCATATAACTGCCCTTTGTGCCTTTGAAAATCTCCCCCACAGAAACCCTGGTTACAAATGACTCTGAAGTTCAAAGAATGACCTTGCCCTTGTGGGAAATGCACGAAGGCTCGTGCCTTTTAAAGGAAAAGATTTATGAGACTCTTACTGCAGATGTGCTTACAACCAGAAATCTATTTTTTTTTTTTATGGAAAGGAGATGCGAGAAAAAGAGAGATGCCACTGTTGGAAAGAATGGGTCATTCTTTGTATTGCTGCTCACAAAGAATACATACACAAGTGTTTATTTGGAAAGAGATACTACCGTAAGGAAGCTCAATACTGTTAAGTGCTCTACAAGGGACTTGGACAAGACTGTATTTGTGATACTGGCAGCACTAGGAGATGAGATGAAATTCTGGAAGACGGGAGCCATTGATTTAGACACTGCTGTATGAAAACTAAAGACAGCTGGAACACCTTAATGTTCCTCTCTCGATATCAATCTATTTTGTTTTAGCCCAACAGATAGAAAGCTTATTAAGAACACAGGCATCTGTGTGATTATACTGCTTATCTATGAGGCAGTGTGCGTAGAGCACTCTGATGGTGTGATTACATGCTGGATCAGCATCCAAAATCTGGACATGCCTTTTCTCTCATCTGAGCCTCAGACTGCATTTGTTCCTAGTCTGTTAGCTGGTGAAAATCAGCCTTGTTTTACAACTTGAGTTGGATGGAAATGTGTCACTGGGCTTTATCCTATGCCTCTGGATAGCAACTGTAACACTCCTGGGCGAAGGTGCTGTATAGGACTGGCTGTCTGTTGACTGCCTAACTAAACCAAATGCCTCCTCTTATGTGGAGCACTCTGCCTGTGATGTTCTGTCCAGGATAGCATCCTACATTTATAGGATCTTCTACAGATTTTAGTTTCTTCTAGGATATGCTGCAGCTATACATTTGCCTGAGTGGATCAGAAGGTGCCCCTCCCTTAGGATATCAGAGCCCAAATACTCGCCTCTATAAAAGATGACTCTGAAGCATCTCAGACCTTGGCTGAGTATCCTGCATGCCCCAAATGTTCTTCCAGTCTGAAAAGGCCAGTCGGTGCCTGCAGTTAGGATTTGGCGGGAGGTGGGAAGAGGGCAGATTGTGAAAGCAGGACCCTTGATTACATAAATGTCTTCTCAGCTAATTAAGAATGGATCCCATTCCTGATCTGATTCTGTTGGAAATTAATTTATGCCCATGAACTGAAAACTCAGACTTGCACATGTGCAGTGTTTCTTGTGGTGTAATTTTATGCAGGGACTAGAAAATACACAGCTGCAGGAGAAAACAGACTGATAACACTCAGCTCCATCATACTGTGGAACAGAGCAACTGGGTCATGTTGATACCCTTTCTGCATTACACTCAGGCCTTCTCCTTGTGTCTACTTCAGTCCTATAAGTTTGGACTCTTATAAAACTTTAGGCTTGGAGCCTTGACTGTGTCATATCAACAAATACGGCATATGTCATGTTTTACAACTAACCTTTCTCTAGGTGGCAACGTGCGCAAGAGAAGCTGACATACTCTTGTTGTCTGACACACAGTTGTTGTTAACCCGCTCTATATCATTCTGAAGGATCAGATCCTTAGATTTTAAAATTCAGTGAGCAATTTGGGGTAAGCAATATAAACAGACTTTACTCATACTCTAGATTACAAACTGGTCAATATGCTCACAGTGCATCTTTATGGTTCTTGCAATTGCTTTCCCCTTCCATACCCCTTTGCTGTCATTTCTAAATTAAGGGGGAAAAAAGAATCCCCCTACCATGGACAGCCAGTGTCTGGGATTTCCTAGGAAAGAAACACTATGCTTTTCGACTTGTCAGAGACTCTGCCCCTCAGGAAGCAGCTCTGTACATATTGTCTGTTAACTACCACCTTTTCAACATGTGCTGCACAAAGGAGGTCAGTCAAGAAATTAAGCTTGCACGAAGTAGCAAACAGGGAAAGAAAGACTCCAGCTCTAGTACTGAGTGCAACGGCACAAGAATCATTCCTTTCCCATAAAGATACAGATCTTTATTATCTGCCAAATCTTCCATACCCCCAAACTAGTCTCCTCAAGATTATTTTAAGCTTTGTGTAAATAACTGCTGCTTATTATGTGCTCCATTTTTTTTTTAAATGACCAGAAGAGGTTACTTCCGACTGACAATACTGGATTTGGTTGCTTTAATCTTTAGATGCCTAAACCCTAACAAGTATGAAAACGCAACATTAAGGGACTGAACTCAGAAGCACTGATATTCACGCTCTTAAAAACTAGTCTGTACATTACTCTTTGTATAGTCTAAGTTCCCACGTAACTGCCATGTTTCTCACTATCTTCCTCCCCGGCAAACTGAAAATATTTTTAGGACCCACTATGATCTCTGAAAGAATCGTATTTGAGTAAAAAGTTCTCAAACAAATCACTTCTTCCCCCTGTCCAAAAGCCCTCATATAAGGAAAATATTGTTCTAACTTTGCAAACAGGGAATCTAAATTAGAGAGAAAAATTGCTCAAGATCACAAGGGCCTTTTCAGGAAGGTTAGAAATATTAACTACTCACATGCTATAGATGTCAAGCTACTTACACAGTGCCTAGCACAATAAAGCCCTGGTCTATAAAGTGGGTCTTTTAGAGGTACTACAATACTAACACTGTAATCCTAATTCAAGGAATTCTATTAGCAGGAAGTTGTATGCTTTGAGCAAACCTCTTTTTCGTAATAGTTACAGTACCTACTCGGCTTGCCTTTGCTTTCCTCCAAAGAACAGAAACAGTCATCATGTAAGAAGGTTATTTTCTTAGCTACATTTAATCTGAAGATTTATGTCCCAAAGTCCCAAAACCATACAGCTCTATAGAGTTTTAAGGGCAACTCTGAATAAATTAATTATTTTAGCATCAAAGAAATCCATTTGAAAAACTTGCTACTAGGCAGTGTGGGAAAGGAAGCTCAAAGGAAATGCTCAAAATCTCTCAACTCTACTCAAGGATCACAAAGTATTTGCATATTCACATTGACTTATTAAACTCCAAAAAAACAGAAAACATGTACGTAGTCCAATGCATTAGCCTTAATCATCCTCAAATCCCTGTGTGCTCTTGAATTCTGGAATTTAACAATAATAAATATAGTTTTGGTTCAAGACCAAGTCATGCTTTAACTATGATGGAGAATTACTGTTACTAACTAGGGACTTGATCTTCAAAGACTAATGCACATGAGTAACATCCAAGTACATCCATTGATTTCAGTGAGGTTTCTTTTCATGTGTAAAGCTAAGCACTGCCTCAGTGTTTGCAGGACCTTTGCACCAAGCAGTTTGCATACAGCAAATGAGTCCTACAGAAACTAAAATTCTTTCCTACTTGTTATCTGATGGGCTTGAATGCATTTGCAGAGGTGAAATGTGTTTTTGTATTTGCAATTTATCAACAGATATTCATAATCACAAGTATTACCTTTGCGGCAGAGTTTGAAACGCCATGTGTGACATTTCTTATCAGGCCACCAACATTTCCATATTTTATTAGCCCTGTAACGCCTTCTGAAACATCATTCAAGAGACCCATTGGGTTGCCAAGGAAATCCACTGAGCCGAGAATCCTCGCCGCCTGACTAAGCAGTTCCTGGAAAAAGATAGGAAAAAAAAAACCCCCAAATTCTTCCTTAGCTGTTTTAGTTAACAGGGCAAATTATTTACAAATAATAACTTTTTAAACAACATCATTAACAACTGCTTATTGAAATACTGATTTATTGCCCTGGTTTTAAAATTTTCTCTCTGATAAAGGCCTCATAAAACACTTAATTTAGATTTCTAATGGATAAGATTTATCTGACACTCACCTCTTGAAAGTGCTTAAAGATATCATTAATGATAAACTCTTTGGTCTCATACGGGTGGACCCTGGTGAATGGATCCAGGTTAATCACAGCATCTTCAAATCGGATTAGAGGAAATCCTAGTGTGCTTTTCAATGCCTAATTAAATAAGAAAATGGTATTAGTCCCTTTAAGGTCATCTGACACCTCATCTATGGCACTAGAATATATTTCCAAGTAACCAAGACTGAGTGAATCATCTCTGCCATTTATATAGTCACTCTGTAATGCTGGCAATAGTATGGACCCTTTCATAAACTGGCTATTGAGAAACTGTTTGAACAGTACTTATCTACTAGTCGGTAAACAAGTGCCCATCCTGACGCAGTCGTCACTTTTCCACAACTTGATAGAATTTTAACGTCAAAACAAAAAGTTCTCAGAAAATGTATTTCTAAGATTATCGTACTTAATGTTGCTTCAGCTATTTACTCCTATTTTTGTTCACATATACATGATTAAACAGATCCCCGTATCTGGAATTGGAAACTTCCTTTCAGTACTTATTGGATGGGCCATGGGAGGTTTTTCCCTTTCTTGAGCACTGAGGAAGAATTGTATATTCAGAGGTGGGATAATTTCCTGGACGCTTCAGGCATTAGTATACCTCATCATTATCTGGTTCAGTGAGACTTACTTAAAACAGGCTTTTGAAGCTGATATCATGAAGAAAGGTATTTGTAGCAAAAAGAATGCAGGCCAGAGTTTTTATCAGCATCTAAGTTACTGTGATATGTATGGTAGATACACTGTATCTAAGCCAAGATTTACTTTTAATATTTGCCTAGGGGTCTATGCATTCAGAAGGGCACTGGAAAGAGTACTTGGTACCAAGCCATAAACATTTTTATTTATTTTTTGCTAACAGTGCAGCTTTTGGGATCCTATAATGTTCTGTATCATGCACATTTTAGAGACGTTATTACAGGTAAGGTTACCTATGCTACCTTGGCAGTAGCCAAAGAGCTGGGGTGGAGATAATAGCAAGAGAGGAAGTTTCTTTTAATAGAAAGATGATGGAAGAGATGAAAGTGGCGGGGGGTGTATGGGGGAAC